CACTTCGCGCAGCTGCTCCAGCTGCTCCTTCGCGCCCCCCACGTCCGAGTACGTCACGTCCGGCTTCTGCGCACAAACCCCAAACCCTAAACCCTCAACGCTGCCCGCAAACCCTAGACAGCGAACGAAACCCCGAACAAGTGCTTTAATGCTGGACCAACGATAAACCACAAACCCTAACCCTTGCCCTAAACCCTAAAAGCCGCGGCGTAAACCCTAGACAGCGAACGCAAAAACGCGACAAGTTCTTAAACACTAGACCAGGGACAGAACGCAAACCCTAACCCTTGCCCTAAACCCTCAAAGCCACGTCGTAAACCCTAGACAGTAAACGCAAACCCGAGACAAGTACTTAAACACTAGACCAAGAACAAACCACAAACCCTTACACTCAACGCAAACCCTCAAAGCTGGCCACAAACCCTAGATAGCAAACGCAAAATCGCAAGAAGCAGCGGCGAGAGCTAAACCCTAGCAGCAAACTCTAAACCCTAAGCTGAGAAAACTAAACTCCAGGCAGCCCAAACAACATCCTGAGCTCTACGCGCCAAACGAAAAACGAAAAAACAAAACCCAAGTAGAATAAGCAAACCCTCGAAATCAAAAGGGAAACCCCAGGCCAGAAGCCCTAAACCCTAAACCCTCGAAAGAGACCCGGGGAGCAGCGCGAGCGAATGCTGCTGCTTGGAGGCAACAAAAGACAAGCCGCATACAGCAGCAAGGGTTCAGGGTTTAGGGTTTAGGGTTTAGGGTTTGCTGCGCCTTGCCTCCTCCACTGTCATCATCATCACCGTGGGGTCGATCTTCGGAGGCAGCGGAATTTGAATTTTGTACTTGTTGCGGTCCACCCTGCAAAACCCCAAACCCTAAACCCTGAACCCTAAACCCCAAACACTAAACCCTAAACCCTGAATCCGAAGCTAAACGCCCCACACTCTGAGCAGTAGGCCCTCGCCCTGGCAGACTACTGAGATTCTCATCCCACTCTCCCAGCCGGCGGGCCCTAAACCCTAAACCCTAAACCCTAAACCCTAAGCCCTAAATCCGTACCCGACTCTCATGCCTTCTTCTATATCCATGGCGGCAACTTTCTCGCCAAGTCCAACGACGAATTTGGCGATTTGTTTGACGTTAATGATGTATTTGGTTTCTTCATCAACATCGCCCGCCATGCTGCCCCGGGGGCCCCCCTGGGGGCCCCCGGGGGCCCCCGCGCCCGGGGGGCCCCCCGC